CCAATCGGGCAGGTCCTTGGGGCATATGGCAACCGTTGGCCGATGGGTTAAAAATGTTTACCAAAGAAGAGTTTATACCCCAAGAGGCCAATCGATGGTTGTTTATAGCCGCTCCCGCCATAGCCATGGTGGGCGCATTAATGACCAGTGTGGTGATTCCTTGGGCTCATCCAATTTTGGTGAATGGGTTGGAGTTTAAATTTCAGGCGGCCGATCTCAACATAGGCGTTTTGTATGTATTTGGTGTGGTGTCATTGGGCGTATATGGGGTTATGTTGGGCGGTTGGTCGTCCAATAATAAATACGCCTTGATGGCGGCGGTTCGTTCTTCTTCTCAAATGATTTCATATGAGATTGCCATGGGATTGGCCATGCTGGCCATTTTAATGAGTTCGGGAAGTTTAAGTTTAAACGATATTGTGGAACAACAATCGGGCATGCGATGGAATGTATTTTACCAACCCTTGGCCTTTTTAATTTTTTTGGTGTGCTCTTTTGCCGAAAGCAATCGAATGCCTTTTGATTTGCCCGAGTCCGAATCCGAATTGGTGGGAGGGTATCATACCGAATATTCGTCCATGAAACTTGGGCTGTTTTTGTTTTCAGAGTATGTGCATATGTTCATTTCATCGGCCATCATATCCACTTTGTTTTTTGGAGGGTATTCTTACCCAGGCATGGATTGGATGGCCAATCACTTTCCAATATGGGCCACGGCATTAAGTTTTGTGGTGTTTTTTACTAAGATTTTATTTTTTATTTTCTTTTATATGTGGGTGCGGTGGACGTTGCCCCGTTTTAGATACGATCAATTGATGCATTTGGGATGGCGCATATTATTGCCATTGGCCATTTTTAATATTCTATTAACCGCTGTTGTTATTATTGGCTTTGACGCCCTGTAATTATGGAAAATCAATACACATCGCTGAGTGGTAAAAAAATAGAGGTTTCTAATAAAACCATGACTTGGGCTGAACAAATATATCTTCCCGCCATCGTTAAAGGATTGGCCATTACATTAAAACATTTGTTTAAACCCAAAGTAACCGTTCAATATCCTGAGGTAAAGCGTGATATAGCCGCCATTTGGCGTGGCCGTCATGTATTAAAACGCGATGATGAAGGCCGAGAACGTTGTACCGCTTGTGGGCTATGTGCTTTGGCGTGTCCAGCCGAAGCCATTACCATGGTGGCCGCCGAACGCACCGCCGACCAAAGACATTTGTATCGGGAAGAAAAATATGCGGCGGTATATGAAATCGATATGATTCGATGCATTTATTGTGGATTGTGTGAAGAAGCCTGCCCAAAAGAGGCCATTTTTTTAACGCCCGAATTGACCAAGCCCGAAACCGATCGTCAAAAATTCATTTATGGCAAAGACGTTTTGGTGGAGCGCATGGACCAAAGAATTGATGTAAGCAAACGACAAAAAAAATGATAAATATATTTATAGGTCTATCGGTTTTATCGGTGATTTTTGCCCTATTTATGGTGTTTTCTAAAAAACCTGTGAATTCATTATTGCATTTAATTGCCTGTTTTTTTACAATGGCGGGGCTTATGGTGTTGCTAAAAGCCGAATTCTTGGCGGTGGTTAATGTTATTGTTTATGCGGGGGCGATTGTCGTGCTGTTTTTATTCACCGTCATGCTAATGAATTTAAATGAGACGATTAAGGTTGAAAAATCATTGTTGATGCGTCTTGGAGCCATTATTGCTTCTGGAACATGGATGATGATGTTGTTAACCGCTGCTAGAAAGGTTCA